GTATTAACGCCTGAACATCGTGATAGATTATTTTTAATGATACTATATTATATAATATGGTATAGTGAAGTTATATTTATATGTTATATTTAAAATTTTATATTATTTATTTCTATAAATCAATGTATAATTTACAGTGGAGGAAAAATTGTTTCTTTTACTGTCTTTTATGGTACTGAAGAATTGAATTCATTATTAAGGCTCTTCATTTAAATTTTTTTGAAACAAGTTATACGGTTTATGATACCTCTGTTTTAATCATAAAATAGTTTCCCATTAAAAATTGTTTGTACAATCGATGGGTTGTAAATTTACACAAATGTCACGATAACGAATAATACAACGTCATATAATATATATTTTGTTAATTAAACAAAAAATTTGTCAGTTTAATAAATAAAATAATTGTATTCATATATTTGAATACCTATGGTAAAACTTGAGGATTGTGGATATGGAAGTTTTTTTTTTAAAGTAGCAGTTATTTCCCAAAAAGTRTATTATTTTGTATTGGTCCATATGTTGATGTCTGAAGTATTGTAATAGTAAAAATGTCATAAAACCATAATACCATAAAGGTAAAAGCTTTCCTTACAATAACACGATGTTTATCATTATAGGCATTAGAACAAAAACAATTTGCTGGTCATGTATTCTTAAAAGGTACATTTACAATGTACATTTTTATAACATAGTTGTAAACAAGTGGTTCTCGTGGTAAACGACGTCTGGATTTTATGTATTACCGTTTTTTTTTACATTTGGCTAAATTTCAAACCTTTTATCGAGTAGGTACATCGAGTATTATGTTACACCCATAAACGACGAGAGGCCCCGGATAAGACATAATCTCAAGACCCTAAAATTAAAAATGTTTAATCCTGTTTATAGAAAATATTGTTAAACTTAATGCTATTTGGATATWTTAAAATAAAATAAGGAATAAAYGGTTGAATTAAAAACTTAAAAAAATGGATAGGTAACTATTAATCCATCCATTGTTAAAAACTAAAATTCACACATTTTCATAAATAGGGCTCGGATTWCAATGCATTAACATCTTTTTTAGGATGTCTTACGTGACATGCGTTATGCTTTTCAAGCTAAACATATGTTTCAAGTACTCCGTGTTCTAATTATAAAGGTTTTTTGCATTTTTAGTTGATTTTATATTATTTTATATTATTTTTTAGGCTATTTTTGACCTATTTATCATATTATGACTAAAAAAATTTACCTCATTGAAACATAAGTGGTGCTCCATAGTAGTATAGTACTACGTAATATAAATTATTTTCATTTTGAACTAATCCAATTATCCGATTTTATTATAAATTTATTTTAAATTAAATATTTAAACATTTTTTTTTTTTTTTGTACAGTGTAATATATTTTCATTTTATAATAATAATTTGAATTTATTTAATAATGCATTTTTGAAAGGGCATTTTTTTGATATTTTTAGGGCATTTAAATCCGAGGCCTACACTAATAACCATCTTTCAATGGCTTATACTACAGTGGATTAAATTTAAATTTGTTGTATATTTATATTGTATAATCATCATTGATTAAAAATTAATCTTCCTTGATTTGTTTTAACGTAATACTTAAAAATATGTTGCTAGTAAATGTTATTTTTATTTAATTAATTCTTTTATATTTATCCTAACTAATATAGGAAAAGATAATTTAATGGTGATCATTATYTTTTATTTAAATTTCTACTTTGATTTATGATTATATACTTTTACTTAACATTAGTTTTTTTAAAACCGATTTAACGTTATCCYTAGTTATGTTCATGGTCTATACTTAAAAAATAATTTTTGAAATAATTTAAGTATTGATTTTAAATTCTCGTAAATTTGATTTCATATAGGTATCAAACAATATGAAATGTACCTACCTAAATAGCTAGATACTTCTATAATTTATTTTGCTTTCTTTTTAAGAAATACAATTTTAGATAATTCAGTCGTATTTATCGAAATAACTATTTTTGTTATTTATTTATTAATGAAAAACCTATCATATTTTTGTTATATGTACATTATGTATATTTTAAAGAACATTTACAACAACAATTTAATTAAGATTTTCGTGAATTTATATTAGATTGAGTGCGAAGCATTGAAAATATTATCCAGTGCGCAATCCCCTGGACAAATCCCCCACTTGCTTTAGATAGGACGAGAGACCCTCGTCTTTGAATTTATACTGTGTATTATGGTATTATATACTTTAGTTATTACATTTAACTAAACTTTTTCATTTTCGAAGATAAACAATATCATATAGTTGATACAGTATACATGATATTATTTTATGTAAAACATATACGTGTGTAAGTAAATATAAATATCCAAAATATATATGACCTAATGCTCACAAACAACTTTCATGTGAAACATTTTGTAATACATTCGAATTAGTTCAACATGTAAATCATGTTTAATTGATAATGTATCTACACAAAATATTTCGTAGTATTGACTGCGTTTATATTMTATTAGTGCCAATGTAATTGAAATCGTATTTATCTGAGTTAAGTATTGTAGTGCATGAAATTTTAATCAGTCGATGTATATATAGATTATTACTACTCGCCTTCTCGGCAATCTATAATGTCAGTATATTGTACCGAGTAAAATAAATTAAAAAATGATCAATTAATGTATCATCTAAACTAATCATTCCAAAAGGATTTAAAATTCCAATTTATTATTTTTGAATGTAAAATAATTTTGTTTGTTTATTATTTTCATACATTATATAGTTTTACTATCATATACATTTRCATTTAATATATAAATAATTATAATATATCAGTCTCATAATTAAATTTTAGAAAAGATACGATATTTCCTATTAAACTACCAAATTTTATAAAAAATATATTCYTTCGTTGAAATATAAAATAATGTTTTATTTTTGATTTTGAATTTATATGGAAATAAATAAAAACAGATAAATACTTTATAAGCAGTAAGCATGTACAATATTGACAACATATTATAAGCTTAACAATGTTGAAATTTCACTACAGACAAAAAAAATATTTCAATGTTATTCTTGATAAACTTCTTATCTATCCACACACATACAAATGTACCTATAGAGAATTCTGTGTGAAATTCTTAAAAACCTTAGAGATATTTTAATAACCTGAAGGTATTTGACATAAATCGCTGTAATTTTTTTAACCTGCATAAGGACTTTATTACAAATGGGTTTGTAACTAAAAATTTTTCCCATTCGCTTCATTATATATAAATAAATTTAATTTGAACGAAATCCTTTTATACATTCCGAGAATCCTGGATCTCCTATAAAATATTATAATATTATAAACGTCACGACGACATTAATTTCGCTTAGGTGAAATATTTTGTTAGGACACACAAAAAAATGCTTTGGTTTTTATTTCTCCTTTCCCCCTTTCTRAATAGTATTATACGACAAGTATGAAGTAGATTTAAACTTCAATRTTATTCTAATTTAATACATAATTATATTTTAGTATTCTGTATTATTATATAAATGAAAATTTTAGTTATTGTGAGTATTAAATACAAAGTAGAAAGTAAAGTTGTCATGATAAGAATATTTTTTAAACTGAAACGTAAAAAAAAAAATAATAATWAGAACGTTAATCATATTCTTATCAAAATAAAGTCTATTTATTTATTAAAATCGGCTGAATGCTGGATAGTTTAAATAATTAAATAGCACATTTCCATAGTATATCATTATGTTAGTACTTTATCTACCATCAATAATAAATATAATCCTATCGTAGACATTAAATAAATTGTAATTRAAAATGACAAACAGTAAATATAAAAGTTTTATTTATGGTGATAGTATTCTTCGAATCAATTAAACGTACAARAAAAAAGATCTACGTCAATTTTTTTTCTCATGTCTTCCACGCTTTCAGATAATTTCATCCRAATATTTACATATAATTAGGGCTAGGATTTATATGCAATAAAAAATGATTAAATATGCATTTGGTTTATTAAAAATATGCAAAAATCTGCAATAAAAATATGCTTAAATAAACCAAACAAATATTATTTAAAAAACACATTTTCTATAAATTTTTTTAAATACAAATTCGTAAAAATAAATATGTTAAACACTTAAAACATAAAACATAAAAAAAATTCTAAGATCTTAAAATCTCTAAAATATTAATTGATATAAAATTGATAAAGCTACTCAAATTAATTACATGAAACAATCACATGATGTTTTAAATTTTCAAAAATGATCGATCTTCTGTTTGACCTTAGTATGTTTTTATATTTGCTAAAACTCCGTTCGACATCAAATGAAATAATTTTTGCTTATTTAAATTTTGTAACTTTCCCAGGAGTTAGATTTGGAAAATCTTCATCAACATCGTTGCCATTTAAAATATTACGTATCGTAGACATAGCTTTTAGCCCGGTATTTTTTTCTAACACATTTTTATATTTTTTGTGGATTTTTTCAGAGATTGGTCCTTTGTTTTGGCCAAGTTTAGATTTGGTGTTTTCAACGATTTCCAAATTGTAATGAAATATAATATAAAACATGCACTTTTTGTGTTTTTGYAGTCGAAATGTATAAAAAAAATMATTTTGTTCAAAATATGCAAAARTATGTATTTTATCTAAAATATGCAAAAATATGACAAATAAAAATATCACCATTTACCTCAGCAAGGGCTAATTCGTGGACATTACTTACAAAATAAATAATCAGAAGTTGCAAAAAAAACATACCAATGCATATAAATCCTAGCCCTACATATAATTATGTGTTATTATAAATATATTTTATGGTCTGATACAAGGAAGCTGGTGCTTTATGTTGTTAGTATTAATATATTATGTATTATAATTAGAGGTGAATTAGTAGTACATATAATGTATGGATGGCATTATTAATGATGATTGAATGTCAACTTTACTGTGCGAAATGACAGACAAATAGACAGTTKTACATACCTAGGAAAATGGTGTTTTAATTGTACGTATATATTTGCGTCGCGTCGTCGGTAATAATATCTTGGTCCGGYGCTTGTCATTGTATCACCCGTTGTCAGCCAATGTGGCGCCGACGGAAATCGAAACTGGGAAAATATAATATTATTATAGGAACGTTTCGAGCAAAAGCACTAATAATTCAGAAATCTGAATTACAATATATCAATACAAACGTGTATAATATGGTTTGTACCTATTGCTATTAAATTATAGTTGGCATCCGAACCACAACATAATTATAGTTTAATTACCACCAATAACCCTGTGTAGTGTGTATATCATACAATCTGTGCAGCGTAAATACCTGCAGTTCATCTGCACATGATGATTATAATAATAATACTATGTCATTCGTGTCATACGCCTTTTTCTCGGTGATTTTTTTTAAATATTACGATAAATGTATTTTGGCAAGCCAATTTGGACTTATCTTGAAGGTCTAAGAGGCAGGACATTGGCTTAATACGACATGCTGATAATAATAATATTAATTATCACTAAAGWTCGGAGTTTTGTGCAGCTAACACTTAAAAACATGTRATCAAAATGTTAAAATGTGCAAAATCGTGTAAAAACAAAATTTTCATTATAGATACTTCAAATTTTATTTTCAATACTATTTTTTTAATAAAATTATTATTATTTTAGTTAGCATTAACTACTTATTAAAATACGAAATTAAAATTAATAATTAATTTAATTTAAATAAAATAATAATAAACTGACACTATGTATATAACTTACATTACAATATTTTATTAAAATGTCTGGTTTTTGCGGATAGACTGTACCTAGTACTGTATGTGTATATGTAATCGATAATTTATCGACTATAGTAGTAGTCGTTATCTTTATTATGTCGTATTATATCGATATATATATATATATATATATAATTAAATTATATAAAAGTCAAATACTAACTTAATTTAACCTTATTTACATTATTATTAAACTTCATTGTAAAAATTCTTTATGTACATAACTACTTAATCTAATAAATTGTAAGGTGATAACGATGATGTTGATGCTGTAACAATTAAACAAAAAAAAGTCCAATATATCATATAACTATACATAATATAGCAATGATAAAAATAATACAAAAATATTTGTACAAAAGTACTATTTAGAAAATTTTTATCAAAAAACTCAAAACGTGCAATTTTGTGCATCATAAAATTTTCTTTTATTTAATTTACATCTCTTGATTTGGATTTGTAGCTTGTTTTTGTAGAATTTAGAACACGCCATAAAAAAAGATGCAATAACTCGGAAATCTGGTCTTTAATTATCACTTATTAACTTAGAAGTATATACCTACACATGAATCGTAGGTGTGAATAAATAGATTTGTGGAATAAATGGCTCACAATTAATCTAATTTTTTTTAAGAATATAATTTTTTATAGTGATATTAATAACATATGTATATATAAACGGCAAATATTTCAAACACCATTTAATATAKAATAATATAATTAAAATAATATTTTTTTGTTTTAAAGATCTTAGTTSTTAATAATCTAATAATCTTACTAGYAAGAAAAACTTATGTACCCTACGAAATTTTTTCCAKCTGTTTTATTCACGAAAAAAAATTTTATCATGCATAAACCTAAAATAAACTAAAAAAGTAAAAGATTTTGGATAAGTAACACGAAATTAGAAGCAAAATTTGTACGTCTAGTAAATGTTTAATTGAATGTTTGGTGAAAATTTCACTTGTAATTCATAAACCATTACGTCTATCACCCATATAATCTAAAAAAAAAAACAATCGTGGAAATAACTGTGTCACGTTTTAAAACCCCGGTGGTCTGCTTGTAGCCGGGCCACATCATTGATCGCGTACGTTATACATAGACAATTCATTATGTTATGAATATACAATATTATACATATATAGTATATGATTTGGTCAACGGTAATACCTACCACCACCACAGCCACCAAACCTACACCTGCTTCGATAAATGTGTTCACCCACCGAGCTATCCGTTCTCGCGTATTATTCGAACGCGCGTGGCGAATATAATGCGACTTATTGTGTGAGTCAATTTATGGTACCTTAATAATTATAATCGTCTTGTACATAAACTATTTTAAATTGAGTTTGTCTCGAACGTATAATGTCACACATTTGTATTCATCGAGTATACTATTATACACTTGGTATATATTATTGCAACGGTAACCTGTCTATATATACGATAACACACGCGCTCCCGAGAAAGCAATATCACCAGTATATCGTATAAATATATATACCCAGTAATGTATCGCGGGATCAAATAGAAGAAGAGCTAACACAATAAATGGTATATTATATCAGTTGGCAATCCATTGTTTTGTGTACCCTTGCTGCAATGTTGTAACACAGTTGTATTCGTCCGCACCACCGCCATCGTAAATCGATAACGTAATAAAATTAAAATTGTATATCAACGTTGTGATATTCTATACTTTAACCCCAGGAAACTTTGAATCAATTAAGATATGCTATATTATTAGAGATATACAAAATAATTTGCTGTGCTGAATCTATTATGCGATCGACAAATAATAACGTTATAAAGTATCACAATATTATCGGCAATATTAATAGTGCAGGTGGTTTAATTAATTTTCATATCAATCAAAACATAACCATATTGTAATGCATCTAGTCGAGAACTTTCGTTAACGTTAATAATATTGTTTATAATATTTCAGATGCTTTTATTACTTTTATTACACATTAGTGAATTATTATTTTTTGTATATTCGATGATTATTATACGTAGATTTTAATAAAATTTGGAATTTCAAAGAATTTGATGTTTTTAATTTTATATCCATTAACTTTGTTTAAAACACACTGGCAGCCTCCAAGAATCGTAATAACAAAATACACATTATTCCGATGTAATTAATTTTATATTTCCTGGTACAACTTTCAAGCATCAATAATGAAATGAATATGTATTAATAAAATTACATTGAATTTTTCTCCATTGACATTTATATGAGATTTTCAAGGGATTACTTTACAGACTAACCATATGCGGTTACCGTGGTCATTTATTGTTGGAACAGAAATCAGTACCAAGATGATTATAAAAAATTATTATAAAAATAATAATGCTAAAAATGTCTACCTGACCATAGTGAAATTAATTGATATTAATCGACAAAAATGTTTTGTACTCCAATTCAAATGTTGAAAAGTTTTAATTAATTTTTTCCCCAAACTAAAGTGTAACAAATTGCAAAAACTTTGGATCATTATGCATTTCTATAAAAAAAATAAAAAAATATACTTATGCATAATGTATAAAGTAAAATAAGATGGTACCATGGTTTCAATTTGTTATCAATCAAATACACGTGGAAGTGAAATTTCATCTCATGGTGATGTTTCATTTTTTTCTGCACCAATAAAATTCTGTTGTTTAACATAAAACGATGGTAAAAAAGATTCATACCTTAGGCAATAAAGAAAAATAGAGTATAAAAACAAAAAAATATCAATACAAACTATTACAAACTAACTATTGATTTATTTAACCATTTTTAAATAAGTTATCTAATCAAATTAGAGTCATAAAATCTTATTATGGGTTTTACACTATAAAATAATAATTACACAAAATTCCTGGTAAAACAAAAGTAACCAACCAACAAATACACAATATTATGGCATAACGCTTATCATGATTTGATTGCTATTAAAAATACATTTTTATGGTGTCGTGATTTATCTTAGTGTGTATAGTGTGTAGGTAAGTGTATAGGTACTTCTTTGATTATTATAATAACAAATATTACTTTCACTATGTGAACGTCAATATTGGAATCTTACGCTACCGATATCGCTCTATAAGATTTGAATTCAAATAATTCACTCTATTAGCAGAATAAATGCTTTACGCTGTTATTCATAGTGTATGCTATAGTTTCAATATATACTAAATCAATTATATTTTAAGAAATTATTGTCTTATAATGGAAGTTCTGTTGTCAAATCATTGTAAAACTGTTTGTGTATTTTGTACTTACTATTATACTACAATATAAATTTGAAAGATATTTTAAAACAATTATAATTAATTTTTTTAAACCGATCATCATTAAAACCAAGGCTAGCGTGAAGAATTATTCGTAGGTTCGTGTCAAAATAATAAAATGCTGACTTAAATATTTATTTAACCAACTTAAATTGAATGAGACATTTTTATAAAAACATTGTTATGTATTTATAGCTAATATTAAAAAAAGATTATATAATAAGATGATATAAATTTTTAATGAAATATTTTTTCAAACTAATATTTATGTCAAATAAAAATAAAATAAAATTAAATGTATTCCAGAGAAACTTTTTTAGTTACAATTTGTAATAAGATCTTCAAAATTTAAGTTGTCAACGATATCTTTGATTGGGCTTAAAATCAAGAGAATATTTAATCTATTTACTGCCATTGTTGTGTGAAGAAGTTTTTTTAATAATTTTTAATTTACTAAACGGACGTTCGTTAGACTCTGTTGTTACAGGAGTTGTAAAAGCTAATCGACAAAGTGAATTTGCTAAAGAACAAGAGTTTTCAACGGTTCAGAAATATTCAAAACGTTTTCCTATGTATTTTCATGTTTCTTTTTATGACGATGTATATCTTGACATAATATAGCAAACACAGTAAGAAATATAATAAATTATTTCAAAATCTTCAGTTCCGATATCATTTTTTATTGGTATGCTTAATATTTAAAATATTGGTTTAACTATTTTAAAACAATCACTTAAATTATTCATGGATTCATTAATTAACGTGTCCAATACTTCTTTAAATTCTTTCCTGTAAATTAAGTATTGTTAGTGTATAAGAATTAAAACAATGTTTTTCAGTAAATATTGCTATTTGTGAAACCTATTAAAATCTACATTATAATCAATATGAAGTTTTTTAGCGAGTATTTCAGCACTAGTTATAATACAATTAATTTGAGACATATCTTTATTTATTTATTTTAAAGATTTTATACKAGACTTCAACACAAGTTTTTTGTTTCAGTTAACACTTTCATTTGATACATAATATATTCC